GTGGATTAGGAGCAGTGCCTATATATTCAACTTTTTTCTTCTAAGATGTAAATAATTTCTTCCTGGTTTGACAGTATAAGAGAAAAACCAATGTAGATATGGATAGTGGCGCTGAAAGGGCCAGTTTTGTCAAGAAAAGGGCACCTGACAGCCTGGAACATGTAGCCCAGCTGAGGACAGGTGTGTTTGACCCAGAAAAGAGTCTACACCAAGGTAAAGTTCCAGTCAGGCCAAAGATGAACCTGGAGAGAGCCAGACAAATAGTTGTTTTGGCAGGACTGTGTGTTAGAGTGCACATATGACTAGAGAGGTTGCTTTTTTTGATGCTTTCCATTTCAAACTAGACTGCCACACAGGACTTGGTTTAGGCCATTTGCGCACTACATTAAAAAATGCTGGGTTCAGATGTGTTTGGAGCTCATTTCTAAACACACCTGGACTCATGTAATGCTTTTCTATGACTGAATGCACACCTAGATGTCCAGCAGCATCTAGGTGCATTCAGAAGTGTTTACCCAAACTAGGATTTTCTGTGCATTCAGAAGTGTTTACCCAAACTAGGATTTTCTGTGTTCCGGCCGATTAGCCGGGTATTGTGCAGCTAAATGCATGTAAACACCACTAAGCTCAGCATCAACTAAACACACTATACAGTTGTTTATGTAGGAGATAACTTTTCTTGCAGCTGGCTAGTGTGCATTAGGCCTTATAGTACTAAATAATCTGTTTTCAGGTAACTGTGTTCTAATAAGGGTTGCCATAGATAACTACCCTTTGCACAGGATTGTTGCACTTTACATTTTCCTATTAAAAGTCTGTTAAAGTAGATCAGTACCATTATACTGTATATTTCAACAATACTTGCATGCTAAAATATAGGGATGGACCGATACCAATACTAGTACCAGTATCGCTGCCAATACGGAGTATTTGGGCAAGTACGAGTACTCGCCCAAATGCTCCAATACTTACCCCAATACCGGAACTTCCGGCCAGAGGTAGATTTCTCGGCTTCCTGATTGGTTGGGAAGCCAGTTTGATGCTGATTGGCTGGGAAGCCGGCTTTCCGGCCCAACACAATGAAGCCGGCTTTCCGGCCAATCAGGAAGCCGGGCGGCAGGTAATTACCCGCCCCCATTTTCCTGATTGGTCGAGAAGCTGGCTCCATGCTGATTGGCTGGGAAGCCGGCTTCCTGGCCAATCAGCATCGAGCCGGCCAAGCAGCACAGTAAGCCGGCTCCATGCTAGTGGAAGTATTGGCACCTCTTTGTTGCCTCCCCATGTATGAATCCATCACTTCCCCTGTAACCTGAAGGAAAACCACAAAACAGAGTAATTCTACCTCGTTGTTCTTCTCAGGGCAATAGAAGAATTTTTAAAAACTTATTGGCTGCAAATTGTCACTTTTGTGAAAATAAGTATGCTTATCTTGGTGTATTAGCTTTGTAAAATGGGCCTTATGGCTGAAGGGTTGTGCTAGTTACTGTTTTTTATGTTAAACACATTTTAATATACTATGTTATAACTTGAGCCTATTATCTTTCAAAAAAATCCTTGTGATACTATTGTGTAACACCCCTATACCGGCTGGAAGTGGGTTGAGAAATAAAAGAAAAAAAAAGAAGAGTGAAAAACCGCTGAACCTGCAACCTGCTGCTAATTGGCAGAGTTGTCCCGATTGGAAGCCTTTCTGAGCCAGCTGGCAACGATTAATTTTTCTACTTTTAAAAGAATGATTTGCTATATATAACATATCAGTATATCAAAGTAATATATATTAATATATAACATTATTTGTACAAATTCTAGAGCCAATAAATATATTTTACTAAAGCATGTTGAACTAAAACACAGTTTTTGCTGATCCAGTGTAACCTTGAGTATATAAGACTGTGTGTGTCTTGAATCCCTTAGGACTATATTTCAATTGATCTGATACATCGCAAATCTAGAATCCATCTGGTTTTTCTCGGCTTATAAATTAGTATGATGGTTTGAATGTCTTTTGTGACCTCTAGCAAACATATACAATTTTTACTGAAATACATGCAGTTTGTAGGCCACAGGACAGAGCTTTTTTTTTTTTAATTTGAATCTGTGAACGCATTGTACATGATGTATTTTGATAAATGTATTGACATTTGTTGTATTCTTGTATGTTATTCTTGCTTCTTTCCTGCCATGGACTAAGGATAAGCAAAGCTCCTGTGAAGTGGTACATGGCTTTATGTAATAAGATGTACTAAATGAATTAATGTGTCTCTTTGGTCTTCTGACAGTATTCTTCATTTTCTCTTTGATCTCGTTTGCAAACCCCGTCAATGTACTATTTCATTACACAAGCCTTAAAGTATTTATTACTTTCTCATTCCATACTCTATCCAACATTTTTTTTAAATGTTGTTTTTAGAAACAGTTTTAACCTCTTTCATTTCACCCTCTTGGCCTCTTTTAACTTACTGTTTGTTGCCTCACCCTTCCCCTCATACACATATTTGAAACTATATTTAAAACTAAGGACACAAATGTAATATATAGCAACTTACCAGTCCTTAGATGTGGTGCTTTTCTTTTATCAGGCTACATCAAATTACTTGTTTATCCTCCCAGAAATACAGTTTCCTTGCAACTTCCTGTGCACTGAATTGAATCTCAAACAATATTATCAGCCTTTGCATATTCATTCAACACATATTTGTAGTGTGTTTGTGCACGTTTATACTCACTTTTTATGTATTGTAATGCACTTTTCCTCTTGTTGTGCATTGTTGCACGACGGCCAACATGTAGAGGACCCACTGCAGAGGACGAAGTGGACTTGCGTCCTAAGTGATTGGACCGATGTGATTGGACACCTTTTTTAAATCTAAAGGGTTCAAAAAGCAAAGTTATGAACACTTGTTTTTGCCATATTTTTGCACAAAACAAACGTTCACAGATATTTGTTTGTTTCTACATAGACCGCTAACTGGCCTGTGACAGCAGTTTTACCAGGCCTAAAGTAAAAGGAAGCTCTGCAACAGGGAGACCGGCAGAAATAAAAATCTGACATCAGTTCTTTCCTACTTTTACTCTACTGATAAAAATAAAATGTTTTTACTTCTGTCCGTTAAAATAACTGTTGGAAAGTTGCCCTCACTTTCTGTCTGGTAAAACGTCAAGAGGACAGGTAGTGAAGGGGAATTTCACCATTGGAGCCCTGGATAGTGATAAAAAGCTGATAGACATTAAAACCCTTCCCCACTCTATTAAAAACAAAGGTAAAACATTTTGGGTGTCTTTCGATGCACCCATCAAATGCTGCTTTGTAGAAATGTTAGTTTTCAAATATACTGTTTTATTATCAGATCTTTAACTGATATTATAAAGTAAATATACTGCACTCTTGGCTTAAAAGATACTTTATTTCATCCCGATACATAAGGCATTTCATGTAGACCACAACATGCTGCCTCACAGTGTCACTAAATTACATCCTATACATGAGCAGCAGTCCCCTTATGGTTAAAGTGAAACTTCTGGCCTCATGGCATACAGCTAAATATGTGTTTAAAATCCATTTACAAATAACTGGTTTAAATTATAACATTTAATCGGGATATTTTAAGGAAGATATCTATTTGGTTTTCTTAACAGCCTGTGTATTTGCTGTTTATTCAGGTGTCATCTAAAAGATAATCTATGGATAGTAGTCCTGTTCCCAGTTTATTTGTAGTGTGACAGCTGCCATTTGCCTTGGTGAACTGAACTGGGGGTGCTGCTGTTACGGTTCTTTAAAGGGCTACAGTTCTAGCCCAAAACAAAAAAATTAAGCCAAAAGTGATCCTGTTGCACTATCTTCATTTGGAATGGGAACAAACTATAGTAAATTAGTGTGTTCCAAGCCCAAGAACAGCCCAAGTACACATAACAGTATCTTTATGTGGCTGGTAACCTATATAGATATGGCTGCTTTGGTTGTAAAAGAGGTAGCAGGTACCATTTGAGGATTGTTTTGTATGCAGTAGTTTGTTTCTCCTGTTCAGCCAACAGTCATTAAGCACCCATTCAGATCTGTAAGTTGAAGTAGAATGCAGAGTGACATATGTTTCACCGAGCATTACCACAGCACAGCAGGCCAGCAAACCAAAACATGTGCTTTGCCACACCACAAAACACAGAGTTGAACCCTATGTCTGTTCTGGTGTGCTGCATTGAAAAAAAGAGTACAGGTACATTTTTTATTTTAGGCGTGCTGCTGGCCCATTCAAAATGGGCTGCCTCAACAAAAAAACAAGTGCAATAATGTGGATGTGCTAACGCAAAGTGTGAATGAGACCTAAATGTTTTGGCCAGACTGTTTATTATGTATTTCATTGCAATACTGAGGCACCAAATTAGCTCATATGCTATTTTATGTTGCTGTGTAATTAGGTATTAAGTAATTATCGAACATAAAATGAACGCCCTAAACACATTTCACTTAAATTAATAATTTCTTTTAGGTATTTTATTTATTCCTGCTGTGTACAATCACAATGTTTAAGGAAAAAGATTAATTTATACAAAATTAAGGCAAATACAGTATGTTGCCCACAGCACACAGTGAAATGAAAAGGGTTGACATTAACAGTACAGACTTGTATCAGTCATGTACATTAATAGAATAAAATGCAAATGTGTGACAAAACATAAAATATTGACTAAGTATCCTGCCTTATAAAGCCAAGCTGCCAGCAATAAATTACACTAAGAGTTGAGTCGCCAGCAGTTTCTACAGAGGTAAGATACAGTATCAAGTCATATGGTCAAGAATTGGTTCAATATCATTAAAATAAACCTTCACTGACCTGTTCTGTGCATTTCTCATCACTTAGATGAGATACCATGTGACTGCAGCATGAGACTGATTAGCATGCCATTAAGAAAAGGAAAAAACTTCAGGGCTCTGAAGTCACATCATGACAGTACGAGTGAAACATGTTTCACTAATGCAGCCTTAATTCATTTTGTTTCTGCAGAGAGAGCAAGCTCACAATGCTTCTTCGGGAGTCCTTGGGGAACATGAACTGCCGCACAACAATGATAGCTCACATTTCAGCTGCTGCAGGAAACTACGCTGAGACGCTGTCCACTATCCAGATTGCTTCCCGGGTGTTGAGGATGAAGAAAAAGAAAACCAAGGTAAGGACTTGTGGGATAAAATCAGCAGCCTCTATTAAGATATACAGTATATGTGGGGGGAAGTGTTCATTAATATAACAGATTGGGTAGACAGTCAATGCTTTGATTTGTATGGGATGGACATCGTTTGTCATCATGTGTAATGTAGATGCTCTTCTGAAAGAATATAGACCTTGGATTACGCTGGCTTAGATTCTGGCTGTGCAGAATAGATTGTAGAGTCTGCAAAATATTTGCCAGCAGAAATGTTGCAGAAATCACACAACTAACTTAAAACAGCTTCTTCCCATTGCAGCCCCAGGACTCCATGAACAAGTACACATGTGCATTAACTTTTGTGAGAAGGACTGTTTAGGTGACCCAGAATTGTGACATTGATGATACATTTCTATGTGATGTTTTTTCTAGAACAGATGTTCACAGAACACTTAAACTTGAACTTTCGACAAGTGTAAAAGCATGTATAGATGCCATAATTTTTTACAGGTGTTAATGAGTGTAACGTACAAAGATAATTACTTCATAGTAACTTTTCAGTTCAATTTTTCAAAGGTCTGGTTCCATCAATTTTTTAACTAAAAATGGCAGTTAAACATGTTTACCAGTGTAGCAATAAGAGTCTTTTATAAATACAGAGGTCAGTATGTTTTTAATTAATACAATTCTCTTGTGTACTCTATGCTTATTTTACAGTACACTTCAAGTTCATCTGGAGGAGAGAGTTCCTGTGAAGAAGGCCGAATGCGTAGACCAACTCAGTTGAGACCATTCCATTCAAAAAATGTAGTTGATCCTGATTTCCCCCTGCTTAGTTTATCCAGTGACCCAGATTACTCATCAAGCAGTGAGCAGTCATGTGATACAGTTATTTATGTTGGCCCCAATGGAACAGCTTTATCTGACAAGGAGCTCACAGATAATGAGGGACCACCAGACTTTGTTCCAATAGTTCCAGTTTTGCAGAAGACAAAGAATGAGGCAAAGGTAGAAGAAGTACAAGAAGTAGCTCCTGGCAAGGCTGAAAGGGATTGTTTAAAGTGCAATACTTTTGCAGAACTGCAGGAAAGATTGGACTGCATTGATGGTAGTGAGGAAACAAATCACTTTCCTTTTGAAGAGGTTCCTGCACAGTACAGTGGAGAGCAAACAACCAAAGGTTTGTGTTCAGTGGCTCAACCAAAAAACCTAACAGATCCAAGTATAGAAGAAAGCATTTGTGAAAATATACAGTCTGACAAGGAGGTGAGAGAAAATAATACTGGAACAATATACAAAATTCAACGAAACCACTCACCCATTCCTTCTGGGCATGTCACCGACACTTCTACACCGTTGTCTCCCAGGAGTGTTACAGGTAGTTGTGCATTGCACAGTGGGCAATCCCAGACAGCACAAAATTCCAGCTTGCAGGGAAGCAGAGAAAGCCTCAACAGTTGTGGATTTGTAGAAGGAAAACCAAGATCAATGGGGTCCCCAAGACTAGGAATAGCCAGTTTAGCCAAAACATCAGAATACAAGCCACCGAACTCTCCTTCCCAAAGGTGTAAAGTTTATACACAGAAATGTGTCTTACCTAGTTCAGCACCCCCTCAAAATAAAGATGCAGGATCACTTTTAGAATCTGTCCCACAACCAGAAATTCGAACTCCTCCAGTAGGAATGAGTCCACAAATGAAGAGATCCCTGTCTAATTCAAGTAGCTTTTCTGCAGAATGTACACTCACTGATCAACAGACATCTGGTTCTGAAGATTCCAAAAAGGAAGTCATAAGTACAACCATGGTCACCGTACAACAGCCTCTGGAGCTCAATGGAGAGGATGAGTTAGTTTTTACGTTAGTCGAAGAATTAACAATTAGCGGAGTCCTGGATAATGGCCGCCCTACTAGTATTATCAGCTTTAATAGTGATTGTTCAGTGCAGGCTTTGGCTTCTGGGTCAAGACCTGTAAGTATTATAAGTAGCATAAGTGAGGACCTGGATTGCTATTCTAATTCTGCCCCAGTTTCTGAAGTCAGTATCACACAGTTCTTAGCCCTTCCTAAGCCTGGAACAGATGAGAAATGTCAGGAAGGTAGTAGCAGACGGTCTTCCATCAGTTCCTGGTTAAGTGAAATGAGCACAGGTAGTGATGGGGAACAGTCATGCCACAGTTTTATTGCTCAAGCATGTTATGGTCATGGAGAAGCAATGGCTGACCCTCCTATTTCAGAATTTACAAGTACTTTGCAGAATATCAGTGTGATGTGTACAAACAACCGACAGAAGCCAGGAGTGGACAATGTGCTCATTCAGTCTGAAATGGCAGAACCAGTACAAAATAATGTATTCCCTATAAAGAACTGCAACATTTCTGCAGTAGGAAAAACTACACTTACTATATCAAACACCTCAACTCTTGGTAGCTGTGAAAGCTATGTTCCTATGAAAACAAACATCACGGTTTACCCCTGCATTGCAGTGAGTCCCTTTAAAACTCAAGAGACTGATGAGTCCCTGCAAGTATTAAATCTGCCTGACAAGTCCTCCTACTCTGTGGAAAACAATGATGTTGATTGTAAAATGAAAGCGGTATTTGATGATCCATGGCTAAAACGTGAAGATGGTATCAAGAGGAAAAACAGTAATTCAACGGATGTAGGACAAATGCCTGAAGCTGCTAATTGTGTAACTGACCATGATGTACACAGAAAACAAAATACCACAGACAGATTAAGCAGCAGCAGTGGTGAAGCAGTTCTCTCACCAATCTCTGAGAACCTTAAAAGAATAGTAGATGGATGTGAAATGGCATTTACCACACAGGGTCTCACCCATGTAACTGAGTATTCACTAACAGGAAGCCTCCCTAGAGGTTTAGAAAGATTATATAAGCTGGAGGAACAGGATATTATGATTAATGATTGTGAGATCCATTCTGTCCCTTCAATGCAAACATCTAGATCTACTTTAGAGAGAAGAGTTTCTTCTCCTAAACATTGTGTTCTCACTCGTCCCAAAGGAATACCACCCCTGCCTCCAGTGAGGAAGTCAAGCCTAGATCACCGGAATAGAGCAAGTCCCCAGCATGCTGCAAACAGCCCTTCAAAGCAATCTCTCTCTTCCCTTCCTAGTCTTCCAGATGAACTTAGTGGGAAATTGTCAGGATTTAGCATGGGCACCAGAAGCAACAGTAGTAGCAAGCTATTTAGTGCCAAACTTGAGCAGTTGGCTAGTAGAGCAAACTCTTTAGGGACATCCAGTGGAAGTCATTATGAGTGTCTATCTTTAGAAAGAGCTGGAAGCCTTTCATCAGTCAGTTCCAGGATGGTCTTTAGTAAAGACAGCACATTGCCAAGATCTGGGAGAAGTTTAAATCGAAATGTCATGTCATCTCCAACTAACACTTCACAGTCTGCTGGTACTTCACCTAAATGTAGCCCTTCAAAAATATCAGCAGTAAGCAAACTACTACTTGCTAGTCCTAAAGCTCGTAGCCTTTCAGCATCTGCAACCAAAACACTCAGCTTCTCAACCAAGTCACTCCCTCAGTCTGTAGGAAGAAGTTCAAGTCTACCTCCAAATGGTAAAAACATGTCTTGGTCTACACAATCTCTTAGCAGAAACAGAAGCTCAGGGCTTGCTTCCAAGCTGCCTCTTAGAGCTGTTAATGGCAGGATCTCAGAGCTACTCCAGGGAAGCACAGGTGGTCGAAGTGTGCATTCACGAGGAAATTCAGACTCAGATGAACGTATAACTCACCATGCAGAGAAGCCCATTGTACACACACTGCCTTCTCCATACAGCAAAATAACTCCCCCACGAAAACCTCATCGCTGCAGCAGTGGTCATGGCAGTGATAACAGCAGTGTGCTTAGTGGTGAGTTACCACCTGCAATGGGCAAAACAGCCCTGTTTTACCATAGTGGAGGCAGCAGCGGTTATGAAAGCATGATGAGGGACAGTGAAGCCACAGGAAGTGGTTCCTCTGCGCAAGACTCCATGAGTGAAAACAGCAGTTCTATCAGTGGAAGATGCCGGAGCCTCAAGTCCTCAAAAAAACGGTCTAATACAGGTATGTTATTAATTTGCTATTAAAATCTTTTTTTATAATTCATTGGTTAAATGAAATTGTAAATTCCATTTTTTTGGCAGATGTGTTGCTTCACCTAGTGTTTGTCTCTCAATTGGGCATAAATGGTCTCACTCTATTCTAAGTAATGTAAAAGTCACCCCCTCATAGTTGCTAAGGTCAAGTGGCACCCAGAGACATAAATAGACCTGCCTAAATTTATATTTTTATCTTTGGAAACAAGAGTTGATGTAAACAATAGACAACATATTTTTAAAGTACCCTGGTGCCTAAAACACATTCTGCGGGCTCATAGTGTGCAGCTCACTGTGTGTTGCTTACTTTGCAGTGTGGCAGTGGGATGCTGGGTGCTGGGATGCTGTCTGCATTACCTCACCTGGTACTGAAATTAACCCAGTACTGCAATGCAGAATGATCTCTGCCCAACAGTGGAAGTATAGAACCAGCCCAACATCATCAGGGAGAGAGCAGTATGGGAGCATGTGATTTGGTAAGTAAACACTGAGGGAAAATGGGGGAGATTAACAGCATTGACATTGGCCACCAATGCAGTGAAGGTTAACAGCACTGCAATTGACCATCAATGCAGGGAGAGGGTTAGCAGCACTGCCACTGACCATCCATTAGTGAGGATGGGAATTAGCAGTATTGCCACTGATCACCAATAAAGGGGGTTTGAAATTGCACAGCCACTGACCACCTATTTGTTTTTGTTTTTTTATTGATGTCACTGACACCAGTGCTGTGGGTTATTATTGCAGTGTAAAAGGAACAGAGAACAGGGTGCAATTACCTAGTGACCTATTAAACAAGGATACAAAGTAGAGAAAATAAACTCATTGTTATTGTTGTCACTGACACCAATGCTGGGGGTTAATATTGTGGAGTTTGACACCAGTGCAGGTGGTTATTATTGTGTTCATTGGCACTAATGCTGGGGGTTATTATAAGGACCACTGACACCAATGCTGGGGGTAATTATTGCGATAACTAACACCAATTCTTGGGGTTATTATTGCAACCACTGACATCAATGAAGGAGGTTATTATTGCAGCCATTGACGACAATGCTAGGAGTTCTTATTACTGCTACTGACACCACTGATGGGGCTACTTTCCCTTCATTGTGTGTGAAAAATACAGAAGGGACAAAATTCAGACGTTTAGGTGTGTTAAAACCTATTTTCAATGGCCCGCCGAACTCGCCCAGTGTACTTGCATGAAAACAAGCTGCTATTTTGCCCTCTGGCAGTGCTGCACCTGGGGCCCCATGTCATTTTCAAGTTTACTACCACTGGTTTAGTGTTTGTTTCCCCTATGCCTGTGAACATGGTATGATTAGAGTCATATATAGAATGTGTTTTTTTAAAAGTATTTTCAGTAGAGCACACGCAAAGGTATGCATGAAATGATTTAAATTAAAACTGATTAAAATGAAGCCAAACATAAATAAAAGTAACTGATCGCAATCACTACTAGATCTGGCTATAACATGTCTGCTTATATTTTTTGCTGGGAATGAGCTCACAAGACCCTTTGACTGCCATACATAACAATTAAAGGGTTAAAACAGGCTCAGTAGCAGCCGTGAGCTTGTGTTAAATTTTATTGCGCAGCTTGTCTATATATGATAGAAGCAATTTGGTGACTAGAAAGTGAACTTTCTTTACTGCTATAAATTGGCTCCTTGACCCCTGAGGTCAGCTCCAGTTTATATTGTCACAAAGAGAGAATGTTACATAAAAAAAGTAATGGAAATAAATATTAAAGTGACATTAAACCCTCAGATGTTTTAACATAAACCAATACTGTAATGTGTGCCTTACTGTATGTAATCCATGGTAGTTTCCCTTCTCTTTGCTGCTCTTCCTTTTAAATCCTCTGTCTTCTCATGCTTGGGGAGAACTTCCCTTTGCAGCTGAGTGCCTCTTCCTATAGTGCTGGCTCAGGTTGCAAACCTACACACAGACACCATGTATCCATTTCAGAGACAAGGCAGTCTGCTGCAAAACAGAAGTTCTGCCCAGCATGAGAACAGATACAGATTTAAAAGGAAGAGCAGCAAAGAGAAGGGAAACAACCATGTAAGCAGACATGTTACAGCCAGATAAGGCACACATTACAGTATTGTTTTATGTTAAATAATCTGAGGGTTTAATGTCACTTTAAGATAAAATAAATTAGTAAAAATAAAAAAGTAAATTCAAACAAGCACACATACAATATACAAATTTACAGAATGTGGGTGCACGTATAGACTGATTTACTAAAGGATTTAATAAACGTATAAGGATTCACTTGAACCCACCAGTCATGTGGAGATGAAATAAGAAATAAACAATTTTATTTTTATGTGATAGAATAATTAAGGTGAATCTTCACACAATTTATTGTGTGAAGAATCTCAGCTCCATTGGGGAGATGTCCCCTCAGTGACACAGACCAGAAGAAGAAATAAGGGGAACAGGGGTCACGGGAACAGGAAAGCACACACAGCAATAAAACCCAGACCAAGGTTTGCCACTGCACTAACCTTTTCCCACTTACTATACAATGTCCTGTCGCTGGTACAGAAAGTAAGAGAACATTTACATTTGAGAACAAATACTACAATAAAATCCTGTATAATGGTCTAACTCTTCCACCAAAAAGAAAAGGTTTTTTCCAAACTTGGGCTTTACATGGAAATTTTGGAGACTGATTATTTTACTATTCTATATAACCTTATCTAGTGCTGGCAATTTAAAATCATTTGTGCGTGTTTTTATTAAAACATAGTTTTGATTAAAACTTTGCAAGTATTATGGGTTGTACAAAATCAGGAATAGGAAATTAAATTCTATATGTAGACTACTCTCAGAAAACACGATTTGGTCTGGCAGTGAGAGGGTTACAAACTGACAACTAATGATGAATTGATGCATGCTGTTCAAATGATGCCTTCCGTTTCAAAACACTTTAATGATAATTGAGCAGTATACAATTAGGCAGAACAGTTACTCTGGGACAGCAGATGGAAATTTCTATTTGATCCTCACTGTTCTTTATTGGCAGTGTAGAGATAAATACAGCACAATGGCACACAGCCTATGCTAAGCTTGTAGGATGTTAGTGTTAATTAGGATTATTCAAGGTAGCATGGGGAACAAAGTGCCAAGTATAGTACCTGTAGCGATCAATGAGAATCTTACACCAGTGTAGCTTCAGTAAAGTTAATTTTGTTGCAGGTTACTGCTGCAATTGAACAAGCTTATAAGTTTGTTTTCTTAGCAATAGAAAATTATTTAATGGTCAAGTAATTGCATGTTGAACAACTGGCTATGGTCTGTGGGTAACCACATTTTATAATGGAATGAAAATGCAAAAATGTCTCTGGTGTCATTGAATTGCTTCTATGTGCTTGTTGGACACAGTCTCTTTAAATAAAATATTGACTTACAATCAATTCATTACATTCATTAGATGTCTACCATAAGTTCTAACACTACAGTGTAAGCACATGACAGTCAATGCACAGAGGTTTTCGTTGTATATCTGCTTCGTTTAAAATTGTGTGCAAAAGGAAAGGCATAGCACTGTATCACACCCATGAGCACTGTAATCTTTGCTTGAATCTGTAAACTGTTAGCTGGAAAGTTGCTGCTGATATCACCAGTAGAGGAATTGATTAGAACAGCAGATGGCAACCATAAAATTGTAGCTGTATGCTATATTAGTAATCAATATCTTACAAGAAAAGGGGGTATGAGAAAATAGCCTAGGATATAATTAGGCAATAAAATTGATTATGCTGGCTGTAGGATACTGTACTCTGAACACATTATGAGTTAGAAATGTGTAATTGTTGATAAGGCCATTTTTCTTTTAAAAGATGAAAGCCCATAGCACAGCTGGACTTTCCTTGCATGGAAATCCATATAGCTCAGAGCCATTACCTTTCTGGGGAGTGCATTGGAGCAGCTTTATGGCAGATTCATTGGCTACAAAAGGCTTTCTGATTATAGTCTACTATAGAGATTCCTAGCTTGGAGGAGAACCCAAAACATGAATTACTGTTTTTTGGTTATATATAGATTAGGCCATTTTATTGAGGATATTTCCGTATAATTTCGACTTGGTCATTTTCACCAAAACACTGTCTGCATGAGTTTTTATATTGTTTTTGTGCTTCTGTGGAGTTGTCATTTTAGTTATTACAGAGTTGAAGAGTGATTTGTTTTCCCTATTTTAAAAGAGAACTATGGTCAAACCTTTAATTGTCATAGTTCTCTTTAGGGTAACAGGAGAACATATACTAATGTCCTCATGTAACTCAAAACTCAACATATAGCTGGCTATTGCCTACTATGTACTGACAGCGCAGAGCCACACTGCAGCCAGGATGGATCCCGACAATATTGTTGGGACCCACCCTTCTGCCTGATTGACTAGAGAGGCAGAGCCAGCTGTACCCACCTGTGGGGGAACGGTAACTGACAGTCACCACTCTCTGCAGGGAGATGATTGGGAACTGAGCGATCGCCGATATGTGATCACTCAGTTTTCGATCAATAGAGCCAACGTGTGACAGCTTCAGTGTCACACATCGGCTCTAATTATGGGGATTAGTGTATTTCACTCTTCCCATAATTCTCCTTTAAAATAATCTTAGCCTAAGAGCAAGTGCTTGACTATATAGCTAATCCTCTATTGTAAGCCCAGGAGCCTCCCCAACTCTGAGACATACTAAAAACTAAACTAGTCTGTTCTCTAAGAGTTTGAGAGAGACACTGTTCTTTAATAAATGGTGTGTGTGTGTAAGAAAGACTGTCCTGAGTGTGAGAGAGCCTGTCTAGAGTGCATGATGGAAAGACAGAAACAGAAACTAAATGAGTATCTGGCATTTCACCCACCCAGCTTGGCTGCTTGGAAAGTTCCCCCTGTATTCCTCTGGTCCTCTTCGGAGTAAGAGTCCTGTAGCTTTTTAGGTGACAACACAAATC